TTATTGATTCAAAGACATTTGATAATGAACAGGAGGCTCATTAGCGCACATCCTAGGCATATAATAGTCTGGCACCCTTTTTTCGACAGTTTACACAAACTAAAATGGATTTAGGAAACTCTGTCCAAAACGGTCGATTTCTTGTAAATAAAAAGATCACCCGCCAGCCCTCTTGCGTGTAACATGGCCCTTTGTCGTCGTCCTTTTTCACCCGCCACTTTGCAGCCTTTCCTTCACACTTTATCATTTGCACTATAGGCAATCTAATTATCGGTCCTTTTCCCCCAGTGAAAATTTGGAATAATAAAATGATGACTCGCCGGCAGCTGCAAGAGCGATATACGATAGAGAACAGGAGACATCCCTGAAGATGTCAACTTCATGGTAAAAGAAGAGAGACAGAGAAAGAGAGAGAGAGAGAGAGAGAGAAAAGACACTCGGGTGTCGACAGGATATGGTCCGATCCCGGCCCATAAATTACCGGACGGCCTTCTTTTCTCCTCCGAGTAGCTTACGATAGCGGAAGGCATTTTATCCCAGCACATTTTCAATTAGTCGTTGACGGAGCACTGAAGGAATAAACACGTCGGAGATCTCGAGGAGTAAATATGGGGACAAATTTTATTTGACTCGCATTTTCATTTCCGTCCACTTTTCGCCGAAACCCCGAGGGACAATAGCAGTAGCATGGAATTGCCGTGCCTTATTTATTTGGGAAGTAGCTGTCAAAAATTATATCGGCGTTTTCCGTAATATGTCATTGGAATCTGAGTTCTTTTTTTCTTCTAATGTACCAACTGATTGACGATATAATCAAGAATGCATGTGCTTGTAATTAGCATCTTGCAGCATCTGCTATAGGCTTATTGTTGCATGTAGGGGGAATGACACTTGGTAAAATAGATTATGCAAGAATAATATTACAAATTCGGCACTGTCTTGAATGCCGACTGGTATTAGCACAGAGTATTTAATTATCAGAAGAATTATATCTGGGGAATTGAGAAATACATATTGCACTTTCATTGTAGTATTCCAGGAAACGTTCGTAATGTTTGGAACATACTTTTTATTTTCAGTGGTTAAAATTAATGTACTGCAAAGAGCATTTTTCCTTGATTATGTCACACGATATTTCGTCAGCCCTTCGTATGAGCTGGAAAGCTGCCAGTTTTGTCGCGTGTTTCCATAAATAACGCCAATCCATGCAACTTTATTGGGTAAAATTCGGCGCAAGATTGGTATATTTGAAGAGAGAAAGGGCGTGGTGCCTCGCGTGTAAGACCTAACGTGCGACACCAGCTGCTTTCTACTGATGAACTACCTCGGTTATCTACTGATGAACTGTCTTGATACATGTTCGTCATCTTTCGAGGAAACTCCTGGGATCTTCGACTCCCTGTCATTCCCCGCCCGGGCGGCGAATGTCTACCTAATCTCCAACTTCCTGCTCTTCGCTGTATTCTTCAGCTCCTTGAGGAAGCCAGAAACCCCCCTCGTCTCATTTACTTGTTAACAGGAAATCGAATTACGTGGGCAGTAAGCCGTTTAGACTATGGCTGGCTCAGAAAGTTGTAATGTAAGCTTACGGTAGCTCATGTACGGAAAAGGTCTTTTGACTAGTGCACACATTTTCTCCTCATGTTAACTTCAAATCATTTTTTACTTGTAGGAGTATCGTTTCTCAGTCCTCCCATACTGCTAAAATAATTTTAATCTGGAAAAAATGTCTATAAACTACTTGTTTGAAGGACTGCATTGTTTCTGGCGCTTCGTCATTTGATTTAATACATGATGCTCATTATGTAGAGTTTGCATAGCTGCCATCTTACAGGTCAGTGTTTTTGTTCCACAGGGTATGCTGTCGAACAAAAGAACTGCCGTGTAAGATGGCTGCCATTCACAGCCTGTATCAGAGTCCTCCAAGATTGGAGTGTCGGCTCAGGTGTTTCTCTTCAATAGAGTCTTGAAACCGTTCTCTTTGCATTACAGTAATTGACAGTTGGTAACTTCCTTGAAAGATATTTCTTTTTATAACGTTACGCGGGACGTCCTGGGTCAGGTTCTTAGTGCTAAAACGATATTTGACAGATAGGCCCCTATTGCCTGTCAAATTAAAGCAAAATAACGTGGACATGATTGATGATGCATAGCGTGAATATCGAGATCATCTGAACTTCACTGAGTAGCAAGAGGTGTTATTTGCGTCCATGCTCGACGGAGTCCGATTTCACTCGTTAGACATGAATATTTCAGGAGCGGAGGAATTTTCTCTTGTTCCCATGCAGGCTACGTGCACTCCCTAAGCCCGAGATTACCCGACTGTGACCATCCTTCACCGGTACAGGTGATGAATGGAAACAGCATGAGGTTACCGGATATCCAGGGCGAACACTACGGTATACCCCGTTTGAATGGGGTCAAAAGAGGGATGTTGCTTGAATGCCATTAATGCAGAGTTCGAAAGATGATACCTTTCAAGCTGAATGAGCTTGACGCTTTTTCAGTACATATGTAGATAGAGACATTACTTTGACAATGAGCCCCCGAAACCATTGTGCTGAGTTTGTGTCTGTAATGAAACTGACGATATTTTTAACTTAACTGACATTTTTTTAAACTTAAAGAGCCGACGAATCGAACACAATTCATTTTGCTGTGCTTTATTTCAAACGAGTTTGCCCTCAACGGACGTGTGACCACATTTATGCCTGATATTTCTGCGACGGGGCAACCAGTTTCTAGGTTAGCGAAGCAACGAGAAGAGTGGTAGGCGAGACCACGAAAACAACTTGGCGTCGTTGCTCGTGTAATGCAATCTCCCTCCGGTGGGTGAGGGTGGGGCGCACGCACGCAACCCTGGGGAGGGGGGGGTAAAGGCCTCAATTCATTTTTGTTTTCATAGCAACATACACGCGACACTCGTGTGGAGTGGACTGGTTATACGTCAGCTTCAATTCATCACATCCAATACGCTGTTCTTGGCGACGTTGACTAAATGCTTAGTATTACGAAAGGCTTGCATATCGTACGCACGAGACCATAGATAATGTTTTGCTACTGCTGAGTTCCCGTCTCGTCATGTTTGAACATGATTTTGCACTTCTAAAAGTAATTTTATATCTATACTGTATCTCATTATGTTGGCAGGCAATTTCTCAAACACAATGCCCAAGTAAAGAATGAACTGAGAAAGAAAAAAAGGTAATTTTTTCTGGCGAGAAAGTTGTCCATTATTTCAAATAATTTCCGTTGTCTTTGATTGATACTCAATGACTGCAGTCCCAAGGCGCGGGTGCCAGGCATTTAGTACCTCACTTAATTGAATTTGGATTTGGGATTTCATTACCGATTAGATGCGAATGGGAAATTACTACCTCAAACGTAAAGGACACAAACATTAATCGCCTGGTGTTTTAATTTCCGCAAGTGACAGCCCATTCATCATGGTTTTTTTTCATATTTGGAGCCAAGGGTCTCTCTCTTACAATATAGTGTCACGCGTTCTCTGACGTGGCACATTTTTTTTATCTTTTTTGCCTGATTTACACTCAATTTTTGGACATCATCTTTTGCATAGTTTGGACTCAAAAGTTTAACCTGATTTTTTATTGCTCTTGTTTCTCAGGTAATGGAATAAATTTAATATACAGAAGGGCTTTCAAGAACGTCAGCAAAGACTTTTAATAAAAAGCCCAGAAACAAAGAGGGAAAAAGTAGGGGATTCTACAATACCACTTTTTTCAACAATTTATGACTGATAATTTTAAGGGGAAAAAATTACGCTGCCCTTTATTCCTTTAAAATATTACAGAGTGGGACAGAAACAAATACGTTCATTTATCGTTGGAGAGAAATGAAGCATATCGGGTTTTGTTTGATCAGTGATGGAAGTATAATTGGGAAGTCATGGGATTCGCATTCCGGATGTTACAATGGAAGAGATGTAACAAAATTGGACCACCATGAGGGATGTGAGAATAGTAGGGCCATATATACCTACTGCTCGTCGTGGTAAGAGTGTAGATTCGACCAGTGTGGATTCATGCATCTGTTGTCATCGGACCCGGGCTCAACTCTGGTGAAGTAATTACAGCTTCTGTCGGGCTGGAAAGCACTTTCAACCCCACTTTCTCTTTCGTCAAGATTCCCTCTTCATTCCCTCTCAATGCTAAATTCTTAGGCAAATGCTCCACTTCGCCTGTTGTTTCTGCACAAGGGTCTTGGCTTTTTTTGAGATTGCTAATGATGGTAGCCCCCGTACACGTGACTGTGCTTAATTTCGTTGTTTACTGAGATCCTACCCCCGCCATGTTCAGACAGCAATATCCTGGAAAACGTCACACCAGGACTGATCTGCCGGTGCTTGCACCGCCTTGTTTACCTCACCGCCAAATGCGATTGCATCGGAGACTGTGACAGATCGTCTAGTGTTAACAAATTACCAGCATTCGGCCAGAGTTGTTTGCCATGTACGTGCACGAAACAGTACATTCATGACAAAACCATCAATCACTGTTTCCATCTTCTGAATATCAACGATACTGTTTTGTGTTCAATTTGAACCAAACCAGACGTCTCAAAGACATTAGATTCTAACACCCGTGACGATGATATGTAACGTTTTCAAAAGTGGAAATACTAGTGAACAAAAATAACCCTTTCTATTTTCAACTGTGCACAAAACAAACTGTACAGTTTTCCGTTAGAAACAATCACTTGTACTCTAAACTTGCCCTTTTAAACTGACCAAGATTTACCAACTGAGGGCGTGCTGCCGACATGATTGTGATCCCTGAAAGTTTGCAGGAAAGTTTGACATCATGGGGCATTCCCCCTCCCCAGGTCTCCATGGAGTAATTGAAAAATAGCAAGCCGTGGTGTATGCACAGCTGGCAAAATATCCGATGCGTACACGGTGGCTCTGTGATATAGAGTCACTTCAAGTCCTCATACATCACCCCATTTAGGCAAATCTTCGTTGTCTTCTCCACCCGCAGGTCGGCAAACATGGCCTCATCCCTCAAGCTGGTCTGGGTAGCGGTGTTGCTAGCCGCTATGGTGACGTCATGCATGGTCCGAGCTGCCCCCACAGGTGCCCAGGAGCAGGATGTGGAGAAGTTTGAAGAAGCTGTGGTAGAGGCAGAAAAAGGAGGAAACCTTGGGGAAGTGGAGGAAGGTCAGTGTTGATCAGAGGATTTCATTCAAAAGCAGTCTTCTTTTGTGGTTTTCAGTTGCTCACTTTCGGCAAGTCAAAGATTACTATCTGGGCATATTTCAAGACGCCATTTGTACTTCTAAATTTACTTGAGTTTTGTACGTGTCATTTGTACATGTATCCGTGAGATTGGAGCTTTTCCATTTACATTTTTTCCATTTATTATTCTTCATCATATTTTGATTATTCAAGTATCAAGAACAAACAAAATGAATGATAAGATTCTATGGTATGTTTATCTTTAAAGCTGTTGAAGATGCGTTAGCCGAAGACGAAAAGATAGACAAGGAAGAGATAACTTTAGCCAGAGATGACCCAGATGCCACCCTCAGGGAAGATGAGCAAGAAAAGGAAGAGATAGTGGAGGATGCAATGGATGAGGTCATCAACGAGGGCAAGGAAGATGTCATTGAGGACTTGACAAAAAACATCATCGATGATGACGATTCCTTGGACCCCGATGATGTCATAGTCACGGGGAGCAGCAGCCAGCCAGATGCCAGTGACTACCTGTGGGAACCATCTTACGACAATTCAGAAATCGAGCTCTACCCCTGGTTATTCCACGACCCCCCTAACGACCCAAGTCAGTGGTCCAGCAACTTTGAAATCTTTGATGAGGAGTACCTCCCCTACTATGAATCCAGTTACCAACCTATGAATGAGGCTGAAGACAACCGCCTTGACAACCACCTCAGCTTGAACATACTTCAGGGAGGCTTCAATGGTGTCCCTGGGGAGGAGCTGAATAACAAAGTGGAACAGACGATGGACGAGTTTCTTTGCATGCTGGGGCTGTGCGATGACATCAGAGTCTACCCAGAGGATGAGGAATGGGAGGAGCCCAATGAGATCCGATTCACAGAAGAGGGCATGATGGGCAACAGGATGGAGGAAGAATCAGATGAGAAGGACATCTACCCAGTTGATGCCCAATCTGAAGATCAGAAGGCAGCCACAAACAGCAGTGCGGAGGCTGAGGTTGAGGATACATTGACCTCTCGTGTGAAGCGGGATGGACAGTCGTCACCAGAGGGTGGCAGACACAGGAGCAAGCGTGACCTGTCGTGGGATGAGCTTGAGCAAGATGGTGATTTACTCAGTAAAATCAACTCCCTGGACAGGTTGCATAAAGAACAGGAGGAGGAGGCTGAGGAGGAGAAAGCCCAGGGTGATCCTAGCTTGACTGCAGCAGACCGCTTTGAGGACCTCCTGCAGTACTTCAAGGATGAGGCTGCCAAGGCAGAGAATGATGGAGAGGAAGAACAGTTCTACCTGGGTGTCCCCGAGCCAGTCCTGAACGAGATCGTTCGAGATACCACAAGGGGCGAGATCCAAAATGTTATTGAAGAGGAGGCCTTGGAGGAAGCAGAGGATTTGGCAGGCATAGAAGATGGGATAGAAGAAGCTGGAGAGTTTGTTGAGGATGATGAGGACTTGGAAGATGGAGATGCTTGGGGCGCATACCTTGTTCCAGGGTCACCGTACATCAAGGACACCCTCAAGTATGATGGATATAAGCGAGATGACGAAAAGGAGGCACTGAAGGTGTATATTGAAAGCTTGCAGAATCTTGAAGGATACCGCAAGAGAGCTGAGCAAAGAGGTAAGTCTTTGAAGTTAAGATAATCTTCCTTTTCCTACCGAGCATCAAAATAATTGATAATAAAATTATTGAATTATTTCTAAATCACAGTATTTTGGTTCATTGTAAAAATGTCATTTTCTAAACAGATGATGATTCAAGATCAGCAGCTAATCTCCTAAGACAGCTTGTTCCCAGAAGCCCTCCTGATGCAGTTCGTTACCCTAAAACTGGTCTGGAGCCATTCTCCCGTGAGAAGTACTTTCCGTTCTTTTCCGGACCCAACGGTATGGCAGATGATAAAGAAATGACAGACGATATCAACCCAGCGACCCTCCTGGAGAAATACAATGAGCTGATGGACTTGTTCAATGCTGAGCTGGAGGAGGCTGTCCTGATCTCGGCCCTCAGGGAGCTTGGGAAGGACCAGCAGCTGTTGGATCAGCTGGCTCAAGAAGAAGCTGAGCAAGACTTGCAGCTGGCTTTGGACGTGAACAACAAGGACATACTGGATCTGGTTGGAATTGGCAGCAGCCGTCCAATAAAGCGGGCTCCACGCGTCATTGACTATAAGGATTTTACTGAGTACCCTCCTGAGCTTCACCGGCGATCCCTGCTGGCTCCCAGCAGTGACCTTAACGCTCTGAGTCAAGAGGACCTGATTAGACTGTACGAGGAGTACATAAACGAGGCCGCTGAGGAGGCCAAGTGGGGTGACTTCATTGACGAGCCGCGGGAGAGGCGGGAGGGAGAAGACAGCCTCCCGGGCCCCCATGGTGCTTACTACGTCCAGGGCCGGATGCTGGGGAGCCTCATGAAGCCGAAGCGGGACTGGAAGCTGTCCAGCAAGGACCTCCCTGCAGGTCCACTCCAGGAGGATTCCGTGGATAACCCCTATATCCTCCTGGATCCATCGGACCTCGGCTATGAGGAGTGGCCAGGTGACTTTGAGATCTTCTTCGACATGCGGGACGGGACTTATGTAGTGTACCCGTATCCTGAACCCCAAGATGCAAGTGTTCTATCCAATGATGCCTTACTAGATGCTCTGGGGTTATCAGGGAGGAACTTTGTCAATGATGCTGCGGGTGATGTGGATGGGGAGACAGGAGATGAGTGGGGAGATTTTATAGATGGGAGGGCTGTCCTGCAGAATGATGTAAGTATCTTTACAGAAGAATATTCATCATTTTCAAACCCCTAAATTCCATCCACAGTGGGCCTCGAGCTTGACCAAGAGAGGGCACTATTTCCTTAGCAACAGAGGCTCCTGTTGCCGGTTCATGAACGACTGCAAATTGCAAGCACTGCAGTCGCATAGCTACCAACAAAATGAATACTGAGCTCCCGACCAACATGGCTCTTTTCAACCCCTTCCAATGTTTCAAACATTTTCTTCTTCCTCTTACAGATTTCTTTATTCTTTTGAGGATAAAGAAATATTCACATGCTCAAAGTACACCTACTGTAACCTCTCTGAACCCGCAACTGAAGATGCAATTTCACGATGAAACTTTAATGTGACATCTTCAACTTGGACTTCAGGCTTAGGTTGAATGTCATTTTTGACATTCTGATGGGGGGTTTAAGCAGTCGTCACGTCAATATATTGACCCCTCAAGCTGAGTTTTTCCCTGGATCTTTATTTACACCCTTCCACACCTACGCAGTGGATTATTGGATCATGGTTCCATCAGAACCAACATGTGGGAGGGGGAGGATCAACTCTAGCCTGAGTTCAACCCCCAGTTATTCCCCGTTGTCAAAATTTGATCAGCCTGCACTTTGGCAAATGGAATCTTATCTCTGGGCAAACTCTAGAAGAGGTTGGAAATGGCCGATGGGCCTGTGACCATCAATCATTCAACATGTTTGGTCAGTGACTCTAATGTCACTCGCTTTGTTTACTTGCCGTTTGAAGAGATATCAGGTTGGACATTTATTGACAGACCAAAGGCCCCGACTTGCCCTATTTTCCGGGCTGAAATTTTTGAAAAGTTTTCATGCTTGTTTTGGAGTGACTTGGAACGTGCTGAAGAATGTAGGCACCAAATTACTGTTGAATATGCATGTACTTGGAGGATCCTGTCCACATTTATTACTGATTAATTTGGTTAATGCAACTGCCCTGAAGTTCTGCATGATCACATTAAAGAAAGGGTCCTATTGTTAAGTTAATGAGGCTCTCCAGTGGCCTGGCCAGGGTTCTCACTGTAAAGGGAACAAGTTGGGTAGCTGGATGTTAAAATGAGGGGGGAGGGGGGGTGAAAGCCCCAGTACTTTCATAATAGTAGTGTTATTTTCTTTGCTTTCTAAATTACCGGGGGGTATAGGGGTCATGCCGCCAAGGGCCCCCTTGTTACACAATTGGGTCACTTAAAAAGGGAATATTCTCCTTCCAAACTCGATCCCCCCCCCATGAGGTAAGTTACCAATTTTTAGGGTCTAACTGTCTGACACACTTGAGTATTTTTTGGAATGGAAAATAAAATTGCACTTCAGTCCTCTTATGGGTGCGAATTTAATATACTGTATAGTAAATCTGTAGTGTACCATTTCTGAAGATGTTTGATGTTTGAATTTCCAACGAATAGTTTGCTTGTTCACTTTCTGTCTTTCTTTGTTTCTTGGTCAAAAAACGATATCTCAGTTTCATGTTTTTTTCCTACTTCAATTTCCATTCCGTTTACCTTGTCTTTAAACTGGTTCTTGTTCCTGTCTGATTGTGGTTGTGTACTTTCTTTCTTGACTGTATCTCAAGCGTCATTCTGATTATGGTTCCTGCCATTTTTCAAATTCTTGTTCTGTTATTTGCTATTATTTCGTAATTCTAGTCCTTGTTCCCATGCTGTGTTTTTCTTCTCACAATCCTTGCACTTTTCTGTGCTCACTTCGGACTCACTGTTCCCTTCTTCGTTTTTTTTTTCTGTATACCTCCCCCATCAGCTGAAGAACATTCAGGAGGACATTAACAAGCTGGAGGATTTGCAGATTCTCACGGCGATAGCCCAGGAGCTGCAGAGAGAGGAAGAGGAGGCAGAGGAAGAGGAGGACCTACTCCAGGAGTTACTGGGTGAGTGAAGAGGAAGAAGATGAGAAACGTGGCACAGGGAATCGCCCAAAACAGAGCCCTCGCTCTCGGAGAAAACATCGTCACAAAAGACAGTCAAATGGTTCCCTCCAACCCAAGGTATTTATTGACTGAGAGAATTTCACAGACCATCAATACTTAATGTCCTGGAAACTCAAATAGTATACTGATATGATTGATTATATTGAGATCAACTGTCATCATACAGTTGCTAGTTTAAGTTAATAGTAGATATGATTTTGTTGATTGTTGTAGATCTTGAGCACAGCTTTTTGAACTAAGCACGCACGCTCAGCAAATTATTGTTAATGTTGATGATATATTTATGACTTGACTTGGAAAAAATATAACATTCCGAAAAAGGATTTATTTTTGATGTTCTGTAAACTAAGATGTATAATTTAAGTTGAGTGTTTGGTGCATTTTGGTGAAATGCTATTCTGTGTGCAAGTAGGGTTATGTTTGGGAAAAGGTGCAATATCTTCTTATTGTTTGAATCTAAACAGGAACTGAAGGGCCAGTGCAATACTAGTGCTTCACTTTGAGAAAACAAAGTTAGGACATGAATAACTCGCTGTGTTCGACGTAACAGTACTTTGATTTTGAATGTAGCAGTTTTATTTTTGTTTCAAATAGGAGCAGGTCTGATCAGGGTTTGTAGCATTTATTGATTTTTTTTTGGGGGGGGGCAGGTAGTCAAAGGACTGGGCGGTCATTCACCAAGACCAGACTAAAATGAAACTATTTTGTATGCAGAGTAAATACTGTGATTGTTCTCTCTCCACCTGATGCACCCAAAGATTTGGTGACTTTTCAAGTAATACCTCTGTGGCATTGTTGTTACGACAGGCGTGTTATTGTGAGATGCTATGACTTTTGAAGGAGAAAATGAGTTCAGAAAGGTTTAAATACTGATTGATCGACGACTGATGATGTCTAATCAGTACTTTCATTGGAAACGAAACACCAATGTTAACTTTGTTCCTCATACTTTGATTACTGTGATATCAGAATTGAAGGTTTGAATACAAACACTTATTTTTCTCAAGTTCTCTTGCAGGGCTCAGAAAGAGATTTGATTGAATGGTGACAGCCAGTCGCAGAGTTTCTGGGTATAAGAAATAATGCTTGGCTTTAAATTTGGTTTCATTTTGTAATTCTTTAATTGTTCGCATTTATAGGAATAAACTGCTCTCCTGCAGCATATTGACTCAACGAGGGTGAAGCCCAACTTACTTGATATCGGTGTGTATTTTAATGGTGGAAAAAAAGAATAACAAAGGTGTGTCTCACACTTGCCTCTCATGCATTTCAGAGCAGTTGGGTGAGAAATCAAGTCTAAAAAAAGTCTAATTTT